TTCTTTCCAGGAAATGTTAATATATATAATTATAGACCCATAAAATCAAACGTTACCTAAAAACAGCATTACCGGATGTTAAGACACGACTTAAAGGAACAGTCCGGATGACACAAAGATGAAGCCGTTAGTGATCATCTGACTTTGGGTTTAAAATAAGTCGTCATTATGTCTCATTAAAGAGACCAAAACCAACACGCACACAATGTGAATTAATCTGAAAATAGTCCCATTACTTTTGAAGCTTAAATGCTGAATATTTAATATATGAAATATGTTTTATTTCTCTATAAATTGAATATATTTAAGATTTGGACTGATGTTCAGACCAAACTCACTATTTTAATACATCGTCTGAGGCTCTCATATACTGGGCATTTAAAGGTAATAAGACTGAATCGTGAGATTAAATAAAATAGTTGGTTTTGGTCTTTTCATGTTTTTTTTTGACAAAAAAGAAAACTAAAGAAGCCAGACCGGCTTTTAGAAAGAGAGACTCAGAGAGACAGAAAGTGCAAACATGTGCCTGAGGACAGAAACTAAACTCTTTTCTTAATTTGGTAAATATTCAATGTAATTCTGGGTCAGTGGGACGTGTAGGGAGCTGAGGACAGACCGGGGGTCTCAGCTGAGGACAGACCGGGGGTCTCAGCTGAGGACAGACCGGGGGTCTCAGCTGAGGACAGACCGGGGGTCTCAGCTGAGGTAGGTGAGGATGACCGACTGGATGGGCAGCCTGCAGACGGGACACAGCTTGTTCCTCTTCTTCAGCTTGCGGGCGCAGACGTAGCAGGACATCAGGTGTCCCGTCCGGCCGTGGACGATGCAGCCGTTCTTCGGCCGGGACTGACAGATGAGACAGGGGTCCAGACACGAGTCCGGCAGCCGCCACTCCGCCGACACGCTGCGGTCCAGATCGGGGATTACGGGGTGAGGAGTGGGGGGGGAGGACGGGAGAAGCTCCTGGGAGTCCATGGAGGAGGAGGAGGGCTGGGAGTCAGGAGTCCAGAGCTTCTGCTGTGAGGAGGAGGAGGAGGAAGGCTGGGAGGAGGAGAGGAGGTCCTGGGAGGAGTCCGGAGCAGAGAGGGAGGAGTCTGAGTGGCACTGAGACGAGAGAGGAGTTTTGGCTCTTTTTCCATCCGGGACGTCGACTCCTTCGTTCTCCTCGACATCAGAACCTTCAGGAGACACATCCATCACTCATCAATAAGTCAATTCATTAAAAAATATATTTTAAATATTATTTTGTCTCCCTCACACGGTGTACAGTCTCCCCCCTCACCTGGAGTTTCTTTGGCTGCCGATTGATCGGTTGGCTTCGGGGGCAGGGCTTTAGGGCTGGAGGAGGCGGGCTTTGTGATATCGGACACCTCGGACAGCCAATCCTGGCGAAGTGTCCAACAGCGGAGACAGTTTCTGGGGAGAGGTGGGTTCAACTCGTCACACTTGACACAGCGCCAGTAGTCCTGAGAGAGAGACAACACACACACACACACACAGTTAGACCCACAGTGTGTAACACGTGTGTGTTGTATTGTGTGTGTTTGTGCGTAGACTCACAGCTTCAGTGATCTCCGTGTCTTCATCGAAGGAGTCGTTGTCCTCCGCCTCAAATATGGTGACCTCGTACACCTGGAACAGATTCACCAGAGAGATGCTTTTATTTCAAACTGTTTGGATAGAAAATAATGACGTCATCTTGAGGAGGACTTGAATATTGGCAAAGACCAGCAGATGTACTTCAGAGGTTCGGGGTGTTTACCTGGTCGTCTGCAGACAGAGAGGCGTCGTCTTCATTGTAGTCGTCAGAGTCCACGGACTCCACCTCAAACTCTACGCTGAAGTTGTCGCTGTCTGAGTCCGAGGCTGCAACTGTGACCTCCGACCTCCCGGACTAAAACACACACACACAGTGTTATAACCAAATACAACATCAGCTAAATAAAAGTGTGTGTGTGTGTGTGTGTATAATACTCACTGTGCTGTGCGAGTCTGACGATTGGCTGCTGTGTCTGTCCCGAACACTCGCCAGTCCTCCAATCACACACCACGACAGGCTGTCGTCAAAGGTCAGGGAGTAGCTGTCAGACCGCCTCCTCTTCCTTCCTTCCCCTCCCTCTTCCTCCCCCGACTCTTCCTCCTCCTCCTTCTCCTTCTCCTCCTCTTCATCGCCCTCTAACCTGTCCGAGGGCCCTGATGAGATGAAGTGGAGTTTAACATCACAGGTTCTGTGTTCATGAGCGATAATGAGGAGGCGGGAGGAGAAACTCACCTGGGTCACTGCTCCTGCAGCTCCTCCTCCTCCTCCTCCTTCCTCTCCTGTCTGGTGATGAAGAGTGACTTTCTGAAGCTGCCTCCTAAAAGCAAAAACACAATCAGTGTTAAAAATAGTTTACAACTCAAACCAGACTCCCTTAAGAAACTGTGAACGTCGTCCATCTTACACCTGTAGGACACTTTGTGCTACGTGTTCTTAAAGCGTTGCTGTCTTCTACTAAACTCAGCAGAAAACTTCTTCATTAAATTTTCGTTACTTACAAAAAATTGGATTTTCAAGCATTACTTCATGCATGTTGATATATTAGAGACTTTATTCTAAGGAAAGGGAACCCAAAAGTCTAATATGCTCAAAAGAAACCAACACAATTATGTCTGACACGCTCCTAAAACACCCAAAGCTCCCGGCTGTATTATTACCATATTATCATTAGTCTTACCTCCGTCACTCTGTCTGTCTGGGTGTCACTGTGAGGTTCACTCGAGCTCGGTGGCGACTCTGAGAAAGAGAGAAAATCTGGTTTAGTTTAGTCTGAAAGACGGAAAAAGAGGAAACTAAGAAGAGAGAAAGAATCCGTCCCACCTTGGTTCTTCACGGCCACCAGGTTCTTAGTGATCATAGCAAACAGAGCTCTGAAAACACAAACACACCAAGTACATACTTGTATTATACTATACTTTTATTACATTTATATGAATCCAAACAGCCTTCTAATCATCTACTTCCTGTTCTCTGTGTGTTTATTTCTCACCGTGGCTCTTTAACAGAGAAGCTGTCGACTCCCAGCACCCGCCCCAGTGCATCCTGGGAGCAGTGGACGATGTGCTGCTGCTTCTGGTCATACAGCTGCTTCTGGATGATGTACTGACCGAGGTAGAACATCACCTGTGAGACAGACCATCACAGATGCATCATGGGAGACATGCAAAACACCCGACTGTGCAGAACATCAGCTCCTCACTGTATAAATTTGTATAAATGCAGTTTTATTTTACCTCCTTCATGGTGAAAACGTCTTTCGTGGCGCCTGCATCTCGCAGCAAAGTCTGGAACTCTACCTTTGGTCTCACCTAAACACACACACAGGTTAAAGTTCATTCAAACACTGAAACAACCAGTTAACCAGTAACGATGTGAGTTAACTAGTCTCTCTCACCAGTTTGTTGTCGTCGTCTGTGTTGAGCTCCTGATCAGCCGACATTGTGACGCTGATTGTTTCTACTCAGAAAGACACAAAACGGTAGTTAGAACCTCATAGAATACTATTTAACATCTGTATGAGCGTCACAGTACGATGGAAAACTAGAAATATAGAACCTAAGGATGCGCTAGAAAGTGGATGGATTCATTAACTGATGAAAAATTATAATTATTTTAGATTTACAACCAAAATGACGCCAACAACAAGCCGGAAAAAATGGTTACGCTTATAAAAAATTTAATTAAATAAATGCTACGGATTGTTTTTGTATTTTTCGACAGACATTTCACAGTTTTGGATATAAATGAAAAGTCTTACCGGTATATACAGAGTAGAAGTATCAGCAGTGCATCCTGTGCAGAGGAAGAGATAAAGTGCAGTCAGACTGGATCAGAGCAGCAGACTCTTATAGACTTGCTCAGACATGTCAGGACTAGACCAGCCCAAGCGGCCAGGCGATCTGAGGGCCTATCAGGGCCACTCAGTGCTGAGTCAGCAGCAGGGAGCTGCATGTTTGAATTGACAGTAGCAGCTGATTTAATCACACAGCTGTAGACATGCCGGTACTAGTCCAGGATGACTCATCGCTGTCAACCATCAGATAACCAGGCTAACCAGTGTGAACCAGGGCCAAAGAGGGTTAGATCCAGGACCTGATCCGAGTATGTTTCCACAGAAGGACTGTCCTCCTCTGGCTTTAAGGGGAATGGAGAAGTAGAAAAAATCCAATGATAAAGGCATCATTTCCCCAATTAATTAAATTTGGTCCCACCCCAAAAAACATTTTAATTATGTTTTTAATTTATTTAATACATTTCAAAACAGCAGACTGACTGGAAAGCCTGCAAGAGCAGTGGATGGTAGTAATAGTAATGGAAAAAAATAAAAAATTATATATATATATATATATTTTCAGAACACATGTCCAGACTCAACCTCATGCTTTCCCTCATTTCGGGTGAATATGTTTGGGCATCAGTCTGAGTGACTGTACAGAAACTCTGACTGGTTCACAGCTGAATAACATGCATGAGTCAGTCAGCTGTTCGCAGTTTACATTACGACACGAACACGTGCAGGAGAGAAATATGCCCGGACTTGTCTCTGCAGCTCTGACTTCACTAAACAGAACTGATGAAGAAGACGTCACATTTAGCCTCCTTCGCCATTTCAGGATACAATGACACAATTTCATGTACATAAATGGAGGATTAACCTGCAGAAACTTCAAAAAAACAAGTGAAACTTCTAAGTTTCGCTTTCAACAGTCTGCTTTTCTGCTGATTCAACGTGGCATCTCTCTTATTTTAGTGAACTATTTATGTTAAAGCTTTAGTGTTTAACGCTTATTAATAAAAACAATATAACAGCCACGTGTTCGCATGCAAAACACTGCTTATGTGCATGAAAAAGCAAACTCTTGCATATTAGCTTTCAGGCTAAAATCACAGTAACGTTACTCACTTCTAACTTAATGTTAGGACATCGCAGCATTCACAATAACAACTTCAGAATCACCCCAAATTAAATGAAACTGTGTGTCAGAGCAGTTAAATAAATATGCTAGTTAGCGTTAGCTAATTTAATTTAAATACATTTAAGATTAGCTACCGTTACCTTGTGTAAAACAAATATAAAAAAGGCTCTATGTGAACATAAAGACACAAGCTGTGTGTAGAAGCTGTTAATTTAAGTTTCACAAGCTTAATAACAATTTAAATTTATTTTTGTTTAACCGTGAGTTTGTTACCAGAACGAAGCCGCGTCGAGGCTCCTCTGTCCCGCTCTACGCAACCAAGAAAACACGAGGCTCCGCGGCCTGCTAGCACGATGCTAACCACCTGCTAACTTGTGCTACTGCTATTGCAGTACTACTACTCTGGCGTAGTTATATTTAGCCTTAAAATAATATCATATATATATATATATAAAACCTACCTTGACCGTTACTCTTAGTTAAATATCCTTCAACGGCGTTTATCCGTCAGTTGATCTTCTAATAGTCGGAACTGTTTACTGTTCAGTTGTTCCTTCGGACACTTGTTCGTTGGGCGCTCCTAGTGGCCGGACACTGACACTGCATCCAGAGCTCGCGGGCTAATTATATTCACAATAATTAACCCTTTTTCTTTTATTCTCCTTCTCTAATTAAGATAACTTTTAGTGGAAAAATACATAGTAAAAATGTAATAATTTATATAATTACATTTTTTAATGTAATCCCATTCGTCTGCATTTTTTACATGGTGGAACAGTTAATTTAATAATTATGCCTTAATATGAACGCATTTGCAGTAATAATAATAATAATAATAATACATTTTATTTATATAGCACTTTTCATAATACTCAAAGACACTTTACATTAAAATCATCATATATAAAAGCAATACACTAAAAACATAAAATACACAATATCGGTCACACATTAAAAGCAGTTTTGAACAGGTGGGTTTTGATTTGGGATTTGAATGTGGAAAGGTCAGTGCAGTCTCAGATATGTTTGGGGAGAGAGTTCCAGAGGGAAGGGGCAGATATGGAGAAGGCTCTGTCACCCCATGTCCGGTGCTTGGTCCTGAGTGGAAGGGACAGGAGGTTGGCATCAGAGGAGCGGAGCCGACGGGATGGAGTGTGGTGGTGAAGCAGGTCGGTGAGGTAGGAGGGGGCCTGATTGTGGAGAGCTTTATGAGTGAGGAGAAGGATTTTGTATTGGATCAGTTGTGGGACGGGGAGCCAGTGGAGGTTCTGGAGAACAGGGGTGATGTGGTCACGGGAGCGGGTGTGGGTGAGCAGGCGAGCAGCAGAGTTTTGGATGTACTGGAGTTTATTTAGGATTTTGGATGATGTGCCGTGGAGAATGCTGTTGCAGTAGTCAATTCTGGAGGTGATGAAGGCGTGGATCAGAGTTTCAGCAGCAGATGAGGAGAGTGATGGGCGGAGACGGGCTATGTTTTTTAAGTGGAAAAAGGCAGTTCTGGTGATTTGTTTGACGTGGTGTTCAAAGGAGAGGTTGCTGTCGAACATGACTCCAAGGTTGCGGATGTGTGGGGAGGGAGACAGAGTGGAGTTGTCGATGGTGAGGCAGAAGTTAGTAATAGTAATATTGCCATTATGTTTTTATTTATTACACGCCATATCATAAGATACTCGTCCATGTTTAATATATATACTTCATGTAGTGTGTGCCTATTACAATTACACATACATGATATACATTACCTTATATTGTGTATATTGCATTAATTTGAGGTACTGTAATTGCTCTTTTAATGTATTGTCATAGCAGAAGCCAGCATGTAACTCAGCTAATTTGAAAACAGGGATTTTAAAAGTTATCAATAATGCTTTTCCTGCTGTGAAAAGCCTAAATGTTAAGACTCAAAATATGTAATTTGTTCTCGAAATATTGTGACGGTTTTCCCCCTAAAAATTCTGACTTTATTCACAAAATATGACTTTTTCCTTGACAAATATACTCTTAAAATCTAACTTTTTACTGTAATATTTATGACTTAACTCTCGTCATTTTTTAGTAGCCCGAATACCGTGGCATTACATTAAAGGCTCTCTGTGCTCTTATAATGAACCCATATCCATTTATCTTCCGTAAACAACTCTATAGTCTTTACAATTTAATTAGATGGAAGCCACAAAACACTAACATTGAACTGTTTGCTCTGGCGTTTAGATCATTCACAGCTCTATAACACCACAATTATTAAGACCTTCAAATTAAATTTACACAAAACCATTACAGGAAAACACAGGCTTTTATTTAGCAAAAAAGATTAACAAAAAACAACAGTGATTCAAACACTGCTCAGTGTGTGTGTGTGTGTGTGTGTGTGTGTGTGTTTATGGCTGTAACTCGTAGCCCAGCGGGTCGAGTCCTCGGTCCAGAAGAGAGAGCGACGACTCCCTCAACTTCTGGAGAAACCTCCTCAGCTCCTCTTTGGAGAAAACCTGAATTTGTGGGCAGAAACATTAACTCACTGTTCCCATAACTCAACGTACAGGGCCGATGAAATCTCTCCAGCTACCTGGTAGAGGCGGTGCTGATCCGATGAGATGATGTCAGCGAGGCGCAGCGCCTCCTGGTCTCTGGAGGAGTTCTGCAGAACGCTGAGCAGCAGGAAGCTGAGGCGAGGGAGACACAGAGAGCGCAGCGCCACCATCTGGTGGCTGCGCTCAGAATCCGGCTCAGAGTCCGGCTCAGAGTCCTGAAAAACACAAAACAAACAATTGACGAACCAAACAAACGTGCAAACAATCAACTTATCGCTTCTATAAGTCAACTAGACAAAATAAATCCCATGATTTCAGATGTTATTAAGAGGTGTTTTAACATTTCCTGCCCCGGTAATTGAGTTTAATCCCGTCTCGTGTGCATAATATGTGCATCCTTTTGTGACTGCAGCTTTATATTGAATGCATAGATACAGAGAACTCTCCGCCATAAAGGGAACAAGCGATATTCCCAAAATGGCAAACTATTCCTTTAAATTTTAGACCCAGGAACTGTGGAACCAGAGGAGCTAAACCAAGAACATAAAGGGCCTTTTTAAGCAGCTGCCGCTACCGCACAGAAACTAAATTCAGTCCCTGGTTCCTTTGGTTGAAACACAGGTTTAGTTCCTGGTTCCCTGAGAGAGAACGTTTGGTTCTCATGTGTGGCGTCGTAAACACTTACCTGTCTGTTGTCGATCATCCAGCCTCCGTCTACGAACAGCAGAACGTTGTAGATTCTTTCTTTCACATCTTCAGTTAAAACGTCCAGACGGCACGACCAGGCAGACAGAGCGGCCTAACGCACACATAAGAAGTAGTTTTACAGTGTGTGTGAGCGTGTGTGCCTGTGTGTGTGTGCGTGTGTGTACCTGGTACTCCTTCTCTCTCATCTCATTGGCTACTCTCTCAGTGAATTTGGCTTCGGAGGCCGGCGCTGGCTTCTGGGGGGCCGAGCTGCTGTGGCTGAACCAGTCAGTGAACGCCTCGTGGGCTTCCTGTAAAAAAATTCCAAAATAAAAATAAAGACACATCCAGATGAATAAACCTTATTGATCCTTATTGATGAGAGACAGGTGACAGACCAGGTAGGCTCTGATACACAGGTGTTCTCTGATGGCGTTCTCGTCCTCAGCAGGTAGAGACGTGGTCTGACCGACCCCCGACCACTGGCAGTAAATCTCCCTCATAGAATCCTCCGGAACTTTAGAGAAGACCGCCTTGGCTGCGTCGTGTTTCTGCAGGGCTGAGAGAGAGACGGTCACATAGAAGCAATGCATCGCCTCGGACACGAGGCGATGCACCGCGGCCCTCGGACACGAGGCGATGCACCGCGGCCCTCGGACACGAGGCGATGCACCGCGGCCCTCGGACACGAGGCGATGCACCGCGGTCCTCGGACACGAGGCGATGCACCGCGGCCCTCGGACACGAAGCGATGCATCGTGGTCCTCGGACACGAGGCGATGCATCGTGGTCCTCGGACACGAAGCGATGCATCGTGGTCCTCGGACACGAAGCGATGCATCGTGGTCCTCGGACACGAAGCGATGCATCGTGGTCCTCGGACATGAAGCTGAGGCAGTCGAGATGAATAAATGAATAACAAAGAATTACCCAGAAACTTCCTCATGATGGCATTGGACTGTTTCAGGGACTCGGCTCGATGGGCAGGGTCAAACAGCAGCCAATCGATGACATCGATCTTTCTTAGGTCCTCCTATCAGAGCACAGCATCACAGTAACTCCTTCCACTTCCACATTTGCAACAAACTATGTACATTTAAGAGTTTTTTATCAGTTAAATCTTGTCTCAATCATGCATTTGTAATTTTTTAAGTCTCATAAAGGCTGTTTTTCAAAATACTCGTCTGAAAATACTTTGCATACATCTAGGGCTTTTATTGTGAAAGGTAGGAACACTATAGTTTGGTTATTTAGTCTGTACCTTTGTGGTTCCCATCTCCAGCATCTGGTTGTGGTGTGTAAACTCAGTTTCATTTGTGTCTCTCACAGTCTCCACCACCAGCTTGGTTATCGCAGCAACATCCAGACCTACACAGACAGCAGGTTTAGTATTCACTCATCAAACCGCCATCAGTTGTGTTTTTGGGTTGTTTTCCGCGTCTCACCGGCGTCGGTGGCGAGCTGCAGGCAGCGGGGACGCATCTCCGGCTGGCTGACCGTCTCCAGGAAAGCGGCGTACTGGACAGTGGCGAGCTCGGCGGGCAGCTGGCTCACGTAGCTCGCCACCAGATCGGTCTGTCGATCCCGGATCAGAAGGGAGACGTACGCCTTCAGGACATCCACACACACCTCCTCCTTACAGAGAGACAAACAGGTCAGTCTGAACTGTTCCTGAAGCTAAATAAAACTCATTTGTTTATTTTTACCTTCAGGGCCAAACCCAGAGAGCGGTAAAATAGCAGCAGGTGAGTCATGAAACGCAGCAGGTGGGAGGGGAGTGGCTTAGAGGCTGTGAGCCAATCAGAAAACTCCTCCAACAGACCTGAGAGAGAGACAGAGAGAGGTTTAGGGATAGAAGAAGTCTTAGTGGGAAGTTGATTCTGAATAATAATAATATTCTTTTCCTTCTTGTTTGTCACAAATTGAATTCCTCTTCAGAGGTCAGAGGTGTCTTACCGTCCAGGTCTCCGAGGATCACAAACTTCTGGATGATGTGGTAATGCTCGCTAGTCTCCTCCAACACCCTCTAAACACACACACACACACACACACACACACACACACACACACAGAAAGAAGCTGGTTTAATGTGTGCGTGTGTTCAGTCATGTGACTCAACAATCACATTCAGTTTGTGTGAGTTTTACCTTCAACTCCGAGGCTTGAAGTTCCTCAAACACCTTTTCCATCGTCCAACTGAACAGAGAGAGAGAA